TACTGCTAGTTGCTTCATGCTACAGAAACCGGCATAAGCGCTGGCCTGATGGGCCACTTGGCTCGTATGCAGACTTGACCTTTACTACCATATACAATGAAACTGTTTTCTAATATTTCAGTTACAAAGAGACTACCATTGGGAGTAGAGGATCGTCGCATCCCAGACAGTGCCCTGAGTTCCTCCTCACGGTGGGACGCGTACCACGGACCTCACCGCTGCAGACTGAACGCTCAGAGACGAGGCAGGCACAGAGGGGCGTGGTCGTCACGTGCTAACAACCGTGCCCAGTGGCTGCAGATTGATGTCGGAAGCAAAGCCTTTTTGTACGGCATGGCCACTCAAGGAAGACAGGATCTAGGACAGTGGGTGAAGACATACAAAGTCATGTACAGTTCTGATGGCGTCCGCTGGAGGTGGTACCAAGTGCGTCGTAGAACTTTGGTGAGTTTTTTAGGATACTACTGTTGGATTGTTACTTGCTTGGCGAGATGAGAACTTGTTTACAATAGTTTCCTGTAACTCTAAAACTTCAAATTTTTTCACAGCTCTTGACTGGTAACCGCGACAGGAACACCATAGTGCGGCACCGATTTGCACGTCGTCTCCGAGCCCGTTACCTCCGTGTGGTGCCATACACATGGCATAGGCACATCTCCATGAGGGTCGAGGTCTATGGGCGTCGCCTTGGTAAGGAATGCTTTGTTTAATTTCGATTTCGTACATAGAATTAACACTAAGATCAGCAATAAATTTTACCAATAAACTATAGGAGACTTAAATTAGTGGATGATGCCTTGAAATGAGAAAATTTACTTGCGACACGCTGATTTTTATGGCATAGAGAACGTAGAGAGGGAAATATAAAATGCGCTTTGCCCAATGTTTCAGTTTAAACTGACGCAAACCGCCTACTTCATGCACTTTGTTCAATTTATAATAAACATTTTTGCACAAAACCGAAAGCAGCCCACTATATTTAGTTTTGCAAGATAGGAGATTGGTCCCCCAAGATCACAGTGACCAGAAACAAATTTCTCCTAATAGGACTTTAAGAAGTGTGTTGAGACAAATAAGGAGTATTTGTATGTTCAGAACGAATTTGAAGCGTAGTGTCGCAGCACGTACGTGTTTTGTTGTCATTGATCAAGTTTTTTACCCTTTCTGGGAGTCAAAACAGGACGTTGGACGCGGTAGACCCTTTCGTTCTAAGCTAAAAGTTGATCTATGATCTTTTATATTCTCAGTACCCATCTGCATGACATTGTATGGATATTGTACAAAAAAAAATAAGATGCTGATCATTCTCTTTGTTTTGTAGTTCCAAGACCTGTTGTGAAGGCCCTCGGTGTCTCCAAGGGACTGGTTAAGAAGCAATACATCAAGGCATCGAGTGAGTGGGATCGTTACCATGCCGCACACCTTGCAAGGCTGAACCAGAAACCAAGTGGTCGATTCAAGGGAGGATGGTCAGCCAAGAAGAACAACCGTAAACAATGGATCCAGTTTGACTTCAGGAAGCCTGTTAGGATCTCTAAGGTTGCTTGTCAGGGCAGAAGTGACGCTAAACAATATGTCACTAGCTTTGCTGTGGCTTACAGTCCTGACGGATATCGATGGACACCTTTTAAAGTTAACTCAAGACTTAAGGTAATAATGAACGAATTAGACCTCAAGCCGGCCCTTCACTAGGAGAATAGATAAGGGAGGTTCCCCTACAGTTCCCAAAGTAATCCCCGAGCGGAAAGTTATATTATAAGGCTAGGCTAGAAACCATAGACAATTAGATATAACAAGAAAATCAAAACTTAGCGTTTTTTTTTCCTCAAGCAAGACCTCCACCGAGGGAATACATAGAGGAGGTTCCCCTTCAGTTCCCAAAGTAATCCCTGAGCGGTGTTTTTCTATCATAGTAAACTACTATTTTCAGGTTTTCTTCAAAGGTCATTTTGGTCGGGGCCAAAATAACTTAAAATAACGTGACTGAGCTTCCTTAAAGTATGAAGGAACCTGGGCCTCGCGTACATTAGTGCACTAAAAAAGACAAACGAGCCTGTGTGAATCATTTTCGTTAATTTTCTTGAAGGTGTTCCGAGGAAACCGTGATCACTACTCCATCAAAGAAAACAGTTTTGACCCTCCATTCAGATCAAGGTTTGTTCGTGTGTATGCACGAACATGGGTGAACCATATTTCAATGAGGCTGGAGTTCTATGGAGGTCGAGCATGTAAGTGGTATTTTTCTAGCCTGGAGTGCGGGCGTTTTCCGTTTGTTCCCGAGTTATCGGTATTAGCTTCACATTAATGATACAAATTTGATTTGTTTCTACAGCAAGAAAGGATCTACCATTGGGTATCGAGGATCGTAAGATTCGAGACCGCTATCTGACTGCGTCATCTGAGTGGAACAAATATCATGGGGCACGCTTTGGAAGATTGAACACTGTGGCACGTGGTAGGAACAGAGGAGCGTGGTCGGCAAAGAGGAACAACCGACGGCAATATATTATGGTTAGTTTTACCTGCAGTATGTCATTGATCCTATGTTAAGAGCTTCTGGCATGGCAAAGAAATCACTGAAAGCGTCATTGGCGAAATAAATTGAGCTAAAAAATTCTTTTCAGAGGTACACAACAAGGCTTTTTTTAAATGTCCGTAATGTAGGGGTTTCATTGGGGGCCGGGTACCGGGCAAATTGACTAGCTGTGAGGGCGATTTTGCCCGCCTGGNATACTCAGCACAGTGTTTCGCTTGGTTAACTATGATACAATATCATTACGGATGTGACACATGATTTGAACGTTAAACTTAATATGGATTCTTTTTATTTTCCAGATCTTCCCGGCTAACAATGACCGTAACAGCGTGGTGGCACACGCTCTGACACCGCATATCTACGCACGCTACGTGAAAATCAAACCTCGCACGTGGTTCAGACACATCTCCATGAGATTTGAGGTCTACGGAAAGAGAAGAGGTGAGAGTGGCCAGTCAGTTGCTTCTCAAAATTCTTTGTTTCCTCTTCTCTCGCCCTTTAGTCCCTTCCCCAGTTAATCCTTCCTCCTTATAAACCTTCTTTTCCTTGGAATTGGACATCATATACGCATTATTTGGGACAGTAAACTTTTTGCTAACTTGTATTCTGTTTTTCTCTGTTACAGCCGAGAGAGTTAAACCGGTTAAACCTGTTAGACCGCCGCGTGTCAGACCACCTGTCAGACCACCAATCAGACCGCCCGTCAGACCTCCTATTAGACCGCCCGTCAAACCACCAGGTAGACTTTTGAACCGTCTTTTACCAATCATTCTTCACTCCTTACCTAAGGCCTCTTACTATATAGTCAGTGACCTACCAGTGGTTTAGTTGGGTGTGCAGTTAACGTTCCCTCAAACAGATCCTTCTAGTTTGCATCCGTTTAAAATGTTTTAAGAATTCGGCTTTGCAATTGTAGTTATGTAGAATTGGGTTCCATAAGGTCTCTGTCGGTCACTTCTTCCTGACGTAGTTCGGAAACGAAATACATATTAGATATTACTTTTATCGTGCACGTATAATTGTATTCCCATTCAAATCATATAAATGACTTCGAGAGAGACTTAGTGGTGTTCGTAGGACAACTAAAAGAACAAATGAAGTTATGCGATCATACGGAAAAAAGTCCATGTCTTAGCCTTTTGATATGCTGGCATTCAGTAGCTTCAAGAACACGTAAAGGTTTTGTGTACAGTATCGTTGGTATTTTTGAAACAACCAATAAATTGATGGCGCTGAAACATAAAATCCTAATTATGTTATGTCGTCGTTAGGAGTTGAAAGACACATATCTCACCTTCAGGGCTATAAATTCAACGAAAGAAAATGGGAGTCTGTGTGTGTACGGACCAAGAACAAGATCAATAAGTTCTTTCTCAAACCTCTCGCTTTGAAAAAATGAAAACATTTCAAATCAAGCGCCCAGTGTAGGGATTCCCATATATTAGTTCTTTGGGTATGTGCCGCTGTGAAGGGTGTGATTTTCACGTAGTGTAGTCTGGGATAGGGTATAATTTACCGGAAAAGTGGCCAGTTTATAAATAAATTAGTCTTTAACAGTGTTCTTCACATGCAGTTCTGTAATAGAAATTGAAACTCGGAATGACTTTGTCGGAGATATTGGTTTAGTTAGTGTATGTTGTACTACGATAGTGATAAAGTTTTTGCATGGAAAATAGCTAGTCTGGGGTAGGGTAGGGGTTTTTGGTGTCTAGGTCTAGACTAGAGTTGCAAAATCAAGCTGATCAACGTCTAGTATAGGGTAAGGGTTTCAGTGTTCCAGCGCACACCCCCACCCAAAGATTCATAGAGTACCCCCCTAGAGTACCCCCTGGGAGGAAAGTGAGTTGCGCTGTGGAATAAGGCCCTTAAAATTGAACGATCAAAAAGCGCGTGCTATGTACATCAAGAATACAGTAACGTCGTTAACACCAGCTTAAATTGTATCGTACTCAGTTGCCATCAAGAGCTGCCCGGTCACCTTGGATCTGGCCTTTGTGATGGACGCGTCAAACCATGTTTCCCGCCGAGACTTCCAGCTCGAGAAAGCTTTCGTCAAGACTGTGTCTAGCAAGTTTACCATCACTAAGCACCAGTCCCACATCGGTCTGATCACGTACGCTAACCTGCCATCACTGAGGATGAGGTTCAGACAGTACAACTCTCTATTTGGTATGGCTATCTGTTGATACGTTGAGTATGTGTAAATGAAGTGGTCTTCTTTGTGAAACATATTTCATACTGTATTGAAAACAGTATTTTACTCGCTCGCTGCGCTTGTTCGTGAAAATATTGTCTTATTACTCGAAATTAAATTCGTCTCTTTGCACCGCCGTTTTAATATCCTCTATGAATTAGACACTGAATGTTGGAGTAACATGGGTTCCAAAAATTGTTTAGTTGTCTTTCAATGAAAGCTGTTTAATTTTCTAAGATGAGTTTAGAAGAATCGTAGAGGTTAACTTTCCTTTTTTCCTCACAGCTGTTCGACGTGCGGTCGACCAAGCGCCGTACATCAATCGCGGAGGAAAACGTTTAGATCTCGCCCTTCAAGCCGCTTATGACACGTTCTACAAAAACGAACCAACGTACATCCAGCGTGTTTTGGTCGTAATCACTGGCGGCCCACCCAACCGCAGACGCGCGTACGCTATCAAACGCATGGCATCAAGATTCATACGCAAGGGCGTCCAAGTTTACGCCATGGGCGTTGGCCGCGCGTTCCGGAGCGAACTGAGAAGTATCGCGTACAAAAATAAGCATGTGTACTACATGAAGACGTTTGGATCGCTACTGGCCAGGGCCAATCAGATCGCAGGCACCATCTGCAGCGAACAGGTAAGATTGGTGAACAGTGTAACGCGAAGCTCATTTAAAAGGTGTTTTAAAACTTTTGAACAAATTACATCTGTGTGTTTGACCATGTAAGCATTGTTTTGGACAGTTATCAAAATCACACAAACTTAGAGGGAACAATTACTGCATTTAATGAGTGTTCTTAACTTCCATTTTTTTAGCTGACAATCTGTAATATGAAGTACAATTAAACTCCAGTGAAAGCGGCAAAATTACAATTTTTTGTCAAAAATAAAGTAAAAGGAAATTGTACCCAGTCGACTCAACCATATCAACATTAACAGCGTACTCTGTGTCAGGTAACTAAGTTATAAGTTTAAGACTCCTATAAAGCAAGAAAATAAATGCTGTGACTAGAGGTTAAATATAAACTAAACCTTAAGTGTTTTTCTTTCTGCGATAGCTGATTATAACATGACATAATACGAATAACATTAGAATGACATGCTGAAACCCGGGGGGTGGGGAGGGGGCACTCCCATATGAAAAGGTCGGAGATGCTTTTCGGAAAATTTGAATTAAACCGCCAAGGGTGACCAATATGGGTTTAGTTGACCCTAAAAGATACCACTTGAAACGAAAATGACAACGGTTTTTTATCATTTCTTCAAGAGCACCCTAAAAGATACTTCGGCGGTTTAAAATAGTGGCGTTTCGTCCTAGGCACCCTAAGTAAGACTCTACAGTTACACTCCTAAACGAGACGACGAGCATACCAGACCTTTTCATATGGGACTCTCCCCCCGGACTAAAGCTACCGATGCTGTTAACGACTAGGCCGACAAAATACCCAATTTAAAACCTTTTTTCCCATTGATCAACAGTCCAAGGAAGCGGATATCCATAAACGAGCAGAACTTCTGAGGCCGTTAATGCAGAAAGAAGAAAATGAAACCAAGAAGACCCAGCAATAATATTTAACAAAATTACATTTCATTTAATCTTAAATGAGTTATATATTCTTAGATTTGCTGGGATATCCTTACTCTTAATTTAACTAAAGCTAATCTGAATCAGATAAACACGTTGTTGTTCTGTTTACTGAATAGAATTAAAGTTATCTAAAACCATAAACGGTTGTGGCAATTGTCATCGTAAGCTCGATTTTGCTTTATTTTTCTCTGACGCTTGCAGTCTCATCGTGTTCTAAACTAAAACTAAGTTGCTGATCTTTAAAACGTAAATAAATCCTATTTAAAGTAAGTTAATGATATACAAAATGTAGATATAATTGTAATTTGTACATTACGCTTCCACATTTTGGACCAAGCCTATTCACACCTATGAAAATCTAACCTATGAATATCACGAAACCTAAAAACGTAAACCTGGAAACATAGTAAAACTTATTGAAACCCGGAAACCTGAACTTAGAAACTTACCAACTTACACTCCCCCCACCCCCCACCTCTCTTGTGCCCCTCGAGGACTGAAATTTATGAAAATTGTTGAAACTTTGAAAGTAACGAGAACTTGTAAACCCCGAAACTGTAAGGTTGTCATTAGGTTTAAGGGCAAAGATATAAGGAGAAATTAAGTGAAACGCCCAAACGGCTAAGCATGAATGGGACACTTGGACCCATGCTGGGTAGAAAGTCAATTATTTTCGCATAAAATGGCATCCATAGCAATGCGAACTAGTTTCACTTGAATGTCGACAAAGCCATGCTTCTCCAAAACCTGTTTGTATTCTTTTGCTGATCTTTCCTTTCCTTCACATACCAGTAACATGTTCAGTGACTCAGAAACAACTTCCTCTCGGCCGCTTTGATCCCCATTTAAAATCTGCTCACAGATGAAAAGGGCATTACCTAAAAATTAAGTAGAAATAATTTAACCACTTTTATATAATAAGTCAAATAATTGTCGCATTTTCACTGGTTCTCACCTATGATCTATTTGAGGACAGAAAATACATGACGTCAATATAACAAACATTTTCCTTCTATTTTTTGTTAACTGACGGAAAGATTTGAGAATTTCGATAATGTTTTAAGTGACTGAGCGAAGTGTACGGTAGAAAAACGTCTTGTCGAGGCTGTGAACAGGTACGAGAAGCAGAAAGAAGAAAGTAAAAGCCGTTTCTTCATGGAAAATGGCTCGGAAAAAATTCTCGAGCGGTCTCAGTCGGCAGTCGAGCGAGACTAAAACCAAACACAAAATTAGTCATTTCAGGAAAAAAAAAAAGCCATTTCTTTGCCTCGAATTTAGCAAATCCAATAAGCTAATTGTTTATGAGATTAATGTAATTAAGAACTTTTCCAACTTTTCTCCAACTTTTCTCCGTCTCGAAATAACTGTTTACTCAGATTGGTGTTAGGAAAGAAACATCAGCGTGAAGGTCTCTGTCTGTTTCAGGGCGCAGCAGCGAGCGAAATGTAGCTCACTACAGCTCTCTGCCGTCTGTATCGCAGCTAGAAACTCTCTCCGACACAATATCAAATGCACTTGATAATCACCAACCGCAGAGGATACAAATTTCCACCGTCACTAACGCTCCTTTCATTCAAGGCTCGAATCAAACGGCGTCCAACGCCTGTATCAATGTTGAGCACAACCGCAAGTTAGACGGCTGTACACAGGCTAAGGAAACCTTAGCTTCCGTTGGAAATTTTCAGTCACTAAATGCAGCGTGAATAATTTCTCCGTCAGAGACGATATGAAGCCAAAACCGAAGGAAAAAAGTCTGGACAATCACGGTAAACGTACGGCGACGTACTAATCCAATCAGAATCAAAGTCTCAACAGGTAACACGCGCTGAGCGCGGGAAAACGAGCGAATACGACGTCATGAGTGGTTTTGCTGCTTCTGATTGGTTAAAAACAGCTTGCTCCTTGAGTGGCAAAATGAACCAAAACCTGCGCTGTGATTGGCTACCCAAGTGGGCAAGATAGCGCTACATTGCCAGCTTGGGATTACTCGCTGAGTCCCCGATTTAGGAAACTAGTATTATTTTTCCATATAATAAATCCTTAATTGCCCAAGCTCGTCAGGTCAAGATGGCTGGATATTGGCTTCGTTCATTTTTTGCGACATTAAGCTTAAACATGCAAAAGAGCGAAAAACATTCTCTGATACTGGTTGACACGGTACAAGGGAATAACTGGAAATTTCAAATAATTCATAACCACGCGGAAAGGGCCGATAACTCAGTAAACTCATATCTTTTATAATTTATTTACGAAAAACTGATACGGAATATTCATCTCCCAAACGCAAACTTTTGTAACCTTACCGCTATTAAGACACTTACACCTAAATCTATTTACATTTAAAAAGAATTTCTATACCATAAAGATATATTAAAAATAACTTGTCTTTAAGCTGACAATTTTTTCTCTTTTTTGTTGTACTACAAAATGGTAAATATTAGTTCACCTTGTGAAGACACACATGGAAGACAAACTGTACGTTAGATAAAATATTTTAATTAGAGTTCTGCTTGTACGTGGAAAACTGATCCCGCGACTTCACCTGTCTCACAATATTAAAATTAATTCCTATATTCTTCGCGTTTGACAAGGAAAATCTCTTTCTTTATTTTTATTCTATTTAATTTTCCCCTGTAGGGAATTCTGTCCAGCGACCTCTATCGCGCGCAACAGTGGAGGCCTGAGCCCAAGATCTTACCCCCAACTCCTGCTGTTTGATTATCTCCCCATGCCTCTCTCGGTCGTCCTCTCATTCTGTTTTCCTCTTGTGCCCACGTCACGGCGATCCGTGGTATCTTATCCTTCTCCATTCCTAACCTAGACCAAACCACTGCCACCTCTGCCATAGTATTTAGTTCACTTGAGCCATATCTAATTCTCTTTTGACTTCCTCATTTCTAACTATCATAGGGCCATATCTTGAAACGTTTATGTTGGAAGGTGCTAAACGTGTTTTTATCAGCTTTAGTCATGGGCCAGATCTCAGAACCATAGAGTAAAACATCGATCGCATGACACTTTATGAAACGATAAATTAATTAATTTTCCAAGTTTGTTTTAAAAACCTTTTAGCAATGTGTGTAAATGGGAACCAGTTGAATCCTTCAAAATGCAATGGCCAGCTAGAAAAGAGAATACTATCTTTTTAAATGGCACCTTGTTTTCTTCGCTGCCAAAGATGTCTTGCTGAGCGCCTATACACGGGAATTTTCCAATACACAATGACAGGAGTCACCACGGATGGAAAGAACAAAATTACAAATGATATATGTTCAAGAAGATCATGGCATGAAGTTGTAGAAAATTCAGCTTCACGTAGTCCGAGAAACTTAACAACACAGTAAAATATCAAGGGTAGTATAGCAGAAATTGTTCCGCGAGTCGCCGCGTTTAAGTACTTGCGAAGTTGCAAATTTCGTTTTTTCTTGCTTTGGTCTAGCGATAGCTCGCTTGAGTTGCCTGGCTTCACTTGAGTCCGGCGTTTCAAACCGCAAAATCCTGCAATAAGTACAATTATCATTAGGAAGCATGGTAGCAATATAAACAGTGAAAGAGTCAACGGGTAAAACACGTATTCGGAGACGCCTACGAATAAGATGCAGGAAAACAGCAAACAGGTTATTGTCGATGCGGTGCAGATTCGTTTCGCTCGTGTCATAGTGGCGTAGTGTCGATTTGACAGCGGGAACACAAAAGCAGTGTAGCGTTCAACGAACAGAATGAGGAGCAACACAGATTCATTACTTGCAACAAAGCTAACCAAAACATTTTCGAATAACTTTGCGACTTCACTGGCGATCCCTTGGCTCGTCAAAATACTGTTAATTCCAATAAGTGGAAGAACAACGAGACCCGAGGAAAAATGGTTGAGTGCGGCGAAAATGTTCAACACGTTGGTAGGTTTGTTGAAGAGTTTCAGTGGATCACGGTTTACGATGTAAAGCAGAACGCCATTTCCAATCGAGGCAACGAGAGATGTAAGCAAATAGATGATTCCAAATATTGCACGAAGATGATGTTCTTTGTTGAAGCAAGCGCTTGTTTCCATCGTCTTGAATACACCGAAAAAGATGATTTGCAAACAGAGTGGAGAATTCTCGGTGCTTACTTAGTAAAACAGTCTTTAAGTTACTTTTAGTCGGTGACGAACATATAAGTTTCTTCAATTGACAAGCGTACCTTTAGCAAATGACGATTTTAATGAGTTTTTGACAAGTAGGTTTTTTATTGGTTGCAAGGGCAAGCTAATCTATTTCTGGTGAAGATTTCATTTCCGACCTTCAACCTGTTTGACAGAATTTACGTAAATTATGGCAAACAATTCGCAATCTTATTAACTTTAATTCTGAAACGAAATCAATCGATTTTAGCCATTACCTATAATTTAAGAATCGCGATAACATCTGTCTTAGCAAAATGCTTTCCTCAGGGAAATACTTTCGCGGCCAAATTGGGTTTAACAACCGTTTTCGATTAAATATATTTTTTTGAACTTGTCTATCAAACTAGTTGACTTATCACTTCATGCTGTCTAAGATCTGTAGAATTTTAAATTTGTGATTAGAAGTAACATCTACGTTTCCCCTCCTTAATTAATTCTGTTAAATTCAATCTTAATAAGATTAAACTCAGCTAAATAAGATTAAAGAATTTCATTTTGAAACAAGGGTCAAATGAATTATTAACCGGAGTTTCACATTTCAAGTTTGCCGGTGTTGTATTATTATTCATTTCATTAGCCATGGGTTCCACCTCCTAAAGTTCTCAGTCACTTGCCAGGTCTATTATGATTATAAAACCATTAATGTTATTACGTTTTACTGGTATCAGATAACAAAATTCTCTTTTCCGATTGGTTCTCAGCGCGCCTATTATTTGTGCTTCTCAGCACGGTGAAGTACTTGTCAAATTAGAGCTGTCCATTTGGAACTTTTTCAAATTAGATCGCCTGAACATGAACACCTGCCATTCGCCATCAATCAATATTTAAACGTGCACTTGAATGATTTCTGTTGCTAATGATAGAAAATACTGAGAAATTTGTTAGAGAGCTCAAATTTTGTAACTGTTATAAAGGCAAACGTTTCGGATGTGACGTAAACCCATACATCTGTGTTTCTTTCTCGGATTTGAGAACTCTACTACATTTCTTTACATTTTCTATAATTTATTTTGAGTGCTACAGCAAATATCTATTTGCGATCTGTCGCTAACAACCTACTGTTTGCAAAACTAATGGAAAATGCCGCTGAGGCCCTATTAGGGGTTTTCGGGATGCAGGATATTTAGGTAAAAAATTAACGGGATAAGGGATATATGGAGTAAAAAGTAATGGGATTAGTGATATTCAGACCAGATAAAACGGGATCTCGAGGAGGAAAATTGTAAATTTTGGCGGCTAGAATTAACGGGAAACGGAATATTTCGGTCAAACACTCGAGATGTGGAATACTCAGTCCCCCCGGCGCCCCTTTTGTCACCACTGACTTTTTCATTAAAAAGATGCTCTTAGAGACTAAATAACCTCCAGCTTTACTACTGATAACATTAATTTGCCCTCAGTGTTTGACTGTAATTTCAAATTGAAATTTAGTCGGCAGGCCCTCGACGTGCGAGAACGTGCGTTTTTCGCCATCACACTCAAACTTTAAAAAAAGCTTCGTAGAGTATAAAGTATTCCATGTCTCGAGTAATGATTCTTAGTACGCTTTTATTTTTAGAATCACCTAGAATCGTTAGCACCATATTTAAAGGAGCCCCGTCACGTTTTGCGCATGTGGAAAGGTTTAGTCTAAATTTTTCAAGTTCGTCGTTTCTAATCCGTGTTAATCTTCTCCATCCTGGCCTTAGCCATCCTTGTACCTTCATGGTTTAGTATTATTTCTTTGGTGCTTTTCTATCTTAGTAAACTACGATTTTCACGTTTTCTTCAATTTAAAGGTAATTTTGTACGTGGCCAAAATAACTCAAAATTAATATCGTGGCTGAGCTCCTTTAAGTCACGTAGCTAATGGTACTTACGAAGCAGGATTTTTAATTTTCGAGGTCTACGAGGGTTTTCTTGTGTTAAGATAACACGAGAACTGAGGAGAACTGAAGACGTTACAAAAGCCTTTCTAATGTTAGTTAGCTAATGTAGACAGCATGTTAACTCGAGTATTGTTTGTAGCCACTTGGATTGTTTTACCATGAATACAAATGGTGGTAAATTGATTAACTTTGACCAAGAGGAGGCTGGCCCAATTTACATTCATTGACAAGCTGCCCGGCTGCACCACTGTTGGCTGATGGGTACAGGCACGTTTCACCTACTGAACCCATTTACTGAGAAAACAGATAATTAAGTTTGCAGGTGAAACATTAGACGGCTTAATACAAAGGAAATTACAATTTTGCAGGTCTCTGTATTGAATTAACGTACGTAGAAATCCTTAATAATTGTTCACACTCTCAAACCAAATGTACTGTACGGTGAAATGAAAGAACCAATTTGGTAAACTTTTTGTAGTTTAGCATTTCCTATCTTGAAACCGTAAAACGAATATTTGCAGACAAAATCCCTAAAACCTGTTTACCTTTGAAAAAAACCCTTGTACTAAGAAGACCTTTTGGTAAACTTGTTTTGGGAAAAAATCGTTAATACAGTTCTTGGAACTCTTGGAACGGTGTAGAAAGAGCGCTGGTACTTGATCTACCTTGAGAGTCCATAATTAAGCTTAAAAATCTATATCAAGTGGTTGTGTACTTCTCCCACTAGCTTGCGTAACAGACCTTTCCTTTCCTTTTCCAGGCGAAGATCGAACAACTGGAAGCGAGCGAACACAAGTTGTGTTGACTTGGGTTGGGTGGCTAAACAGTGAAAAACTAGCGTCGACTTGCGTACAAATTTGATCTCGACCAAAGTGAGCGCAAGTCAACGCAAGTGCACGCATGGCCTGGCCAAACGGAGTCGCAAGTAGACCCAAGTTTTCAACTTGCGTCTACTTGCGAGTCCGTTTGACCAGGGCTTAAGCCAAGAACTTCATTGTGCAAAATTTAAAATGTAAGCTGAATAATGACGCGCTTTTCAAGTGATAGCTGAGAAATGATCAGAAATTTTAACTGATAAAATCCATGAAAAATAGCAAAATAATATGACCGCATCACAAATTAAGGATCAATCCTTATGTAAGAGATCCTTAATACGTATCCTATCCATCCTTCTGTCATTCAATTCCTTTCTGATTTGCAGACATGGCACGCAAAGTAGCAGGGGGAAAGAGGTTAGAAGAAAGACGGTAAGGCAAAGGCCACCGCTGATGGAAAGAAGAAGAGAAGGGGAAAGAGAAAAGAAAGCTATGCTATCTACATCTATGAGGTGTTGAAGCAAGTTCACCCTGACACTGGTATCTCCAGCAAAGCCATGGACATCATGAACTCGTTCGTCAACGACGTCTTCGAGCGCGTCGCCACCGAAGCTTCCCGCCTTGCCCACTACGACAAGAAATCAACCATCAGCTCCCGCGAGATCCAGACCGCCATCAGGCTGCTTCTGCCCGGTGAACTGGCCAAACACAATATGAGTGAAGCAACCAAGGCTATGACCAAGTACACCACCAGCAGGTAAACTCACCTTGTGGGTTTCCCGCCAAAACAAATCAAATGATACAAAATTCAATGACCAACAGTATAGTTTTATGTTTTTATTCCCACGGTAGCTTTCACTCCTTGAATGTGCATATTTTAAGACCGTTTTTACGAAGTTCTAAACATTTTGCCTCCTAAACCAATTTGATGGTCAACAAACGTCAAACTTCTTACTTGCATTGTGTTCGACTCGATGGCTCTGAAAATATCTTGTATTCACGCTGAAACTCTTTGACTC